AAAAAACTGAAAAAAAAAGAAAATAAAAGTATCATATGCAAAGTATCATATTTGATTTATATACAAGCTTAAAAAAAAAAAGAAAAAGAAAAACAGAAAAGTTGTTTTGAATGCGTAAGAACCGGACACATTAATTGAGTTCATATGTTTGGAAAAGTTAAAGACATAGTATATTTGATAATAGTTATTCATAAAATACCATATTGATAAAAAATTCATGAAACCACAATTTTAAAAATATGTCTGATACATGGCATACGTGTGTAAATAGCCCTAATTCAATTATATCACATTAATTGATCACAGGACCGACCTTGAGGTAAGGCGGGCAGACGACTACCCAGAGCCCCAAATAACTTAGGGCCCACTATTATTAGTTATATATATAATATAAGTATATAAAAGTAGTTTTATTAGTTTTTTTTATTATTCTTTACTTAAGTTATTTAATTTTTTTTTGTCACTTAACAAATTTCGTGAAAAATTAATGAGCAATTATTAGTAGTAAAATTTATATGTTTTATATATTTTTCTCTTATTCATTTTATTCGTTTTCTTAAAAAAAATCTCTTGCTCGAATATACAAATGGTTATTATGTGGCGTGCATTCAATTAAGATTTATAAAGATTTTTTAATACTTTGTAAATCATGATGTATTCAATTTAGATTTTTTAATATTTCTCATGACTTTTAAAAGTCTTGGGGTATTTATTTGAGATTTTAAAAAGTATTATAAAATCCTGATATATTTAACTTATTTGAGACGAGAATTTGTTAAGACTTTTTAGATTTTGTGGGATTTCTAAAGAAAAAACCTTATACAAAACTCCACTTCAAATTTCACCAAAAGACATAAGGTTTCACGGAATTTCTAAAGAAAAATTGTTTTAAATAGCAATTTTCCTTAGTTTTTTTTTTTACTATTTTAATTTTGGCTCGGTTTAGAAATTCTTTGTGAATTTTTAGAGAAAATAACTGACCCGAACGTATACTCAACAATTTTCTTAAGGTTTCATACTCTTTCTTTCTTTGTTTGGTAAGATGCCTTCTTTAATTACTTCTTTTGTACGACTTCAGCATGCCTTCTCCCCCTTTTTGAGAGCTCTGGGGAAGATTTTGTTAGCAAGACGTTAAGAGGTGATGTGAGAAGTAAAGAAAGGGCAGTCATGGTTAGTGGGATGCACATACAAAATTAGATATGAAACAGTCTGCTGTACCCCAGATGGATATTGGAGACGACCTCCTCATCATTGGCCGACTATTTCGTATTTTAAGTTAGGGAATACATTGAGTGTAATGACTGATAGCGATACAGTGAAACTTATGGAGACTTTATGAATACAATTCAATAGCAGAATGTTTGCACCGTATCCTGAGGAAGAATACACTATTTATTGAACCATTGTATATGTGTTTTTAAGAAATGTTTATCCTTTGGATTACGATTCCCACTTCTTCGATGATAACTATTTACCTTAGTGACTGAGGCTTAGGTATCAGTCAGGTGTCTCAGAACATTTGGATGAACGTAATTAGCGTGCTGGTTATGTTTCATGATGAAAAATGGTCTGTTTCTACAACTGATAAAATTCAAGGTTTATGTCAATTTAAAGAGTCTATAAACAAGGTCGATTGTTTTACTGTTCGACCAGAGATGGAGCTTTTAAGAAAATAGTCACTAGGGTTCTCGATTCGCTGTGCGATTAAAAGGTGATTGACTGTGGACAAGAGAAAATTGGCAGACTCAGATGTCGGCTAAAGATGTGAAAGTTGGGGATTATTTCACTATCCCAACAAGATCTTTTGCTAAATTTTGAGAGTTTCTTCAATAATTGTTTTATTTATCCTCATTTGGCTAGTTCGTCTTTTTGTTGCATTTTTTGTGCTAACAGGTCGACTAGCCTTGTTTCTCCCAAGAATAATTTTGTTTCGGTTCTCAGCGATACATTCCCTAATCGGCTTCGACAGTTGCTCAAGTGATATCTTCCTAACAGAATAGAACGGGTCTTGGTTGAGACTCTTATGTTGTTCGAGCAGGATTGTGCATAGATTGAATGACTTCTCTTTTGTTCCAAGTCGATAATCTTTTCTTTGTAAAATTGTACTTTGTTTACTTAGCGGTATGTTTTCGGATATTCTGGCTCTTTTATCTAATGTTAGTTCTACTTCATTTTTATATTTTTCAATTTATTATCCTTTGCTTAACTTCAAAGGATCTTCCTCACCGAAACAAGCGAGAAGGGTTGAATGAGCCGATCGAAAGAAGAAGAGATTGACCGTGCTGTTTTGGTTTCTTAGACGGTTGCTCAAGCTAATGTCGCGACCGACTCAAAGGGGTAAAGCATCGGGCACTACTGGATCCGTTGACATTGACTTAAGTCGTGCAAGAACTTTTGGCCATCAGAAACATGGATCAAGAACGATTGAGTCAAGAGCCGCTAAGAGGATCGCCAGCTTGACTCAGCAAGGTGAGGGGACGAGCAAGGGGCAGAACGTTCAAGAAGGTGCACTTTCAAAGGATAAGGGCTCACCTATTCATGAGGAGGGTGTCATTACTTTTTTGTCGCTTTCAAAGCATAAGCATACAATTACGGACGTGCCATTAATTGAATGGTCACATAAATCCAAGTCATTAATTTGGATACTTGATGGACGTGCCAGATTTAAAGTCACCTCTATTTAGATTAGTCACCTCTCCTCCAATTACGATGTGCAGTACCTTCTAATCATTTTTCTGCTACAAAAGGTAACAATTAGGAGAGAGAAACTAGTTTAGATCAAGAATACAATTACATTGTCTTTTGCATCAAATAAGTAGAACGTATGTACCTATTTATTCAAAGTTTTGTGATATATGGTTACACTTAGTTGTCATATTCTCCACATATTTCGATGGTTGTTTGAGTTTAATTGTTGATTTAATTGATTGTTATGATTTTGTAGGAAATCTCGGAGTTCTGTGACGTTGCAGTACGAAAAAACGAATTTGAGTTGAGGCGTAGGCAACCAAGTTTCCTATGAGAGTTGGAAGAATGAAAGAGAAATAAAAGAATTTATGGAGTATTTATTTATTATGAACTATTTTATTAGGATATTTTGGACACATAATGTTGTCTTTGTTATTATCTTACATATTTCTACTAAGATTAGTTTTATTAGAAATGGGTTGTTTGATTTTCTTTTCTTTTCTTTTCTTTTCTTTTCTTTTCTCCTTGCACACACATCCTCTCTTGTCTTCATTTCTTTTATTTTTCATGAAATAATTAGGAGAAGACTCCCATGTTTATATATAGTTAATTATTTTTCCAACAGAAGGATTAATCTAGATTTGATTTTTCATGATTTGTAAGATCTAATCGAATTTATATTCCGTACTTCTATTTTATTTATGCATCTATTGTGTTTATTATTGATTGTGTTCTGATTGATTGATGCAAACTGGCCATTTATTCGATTATATATCGCCATTTAGAATGTTAAATATGTATATGTTTGTTTGTTCTAATATTTATGGCAAATAGCGTAGTTGACTATTAAGAGTATTCGGTTGTATGATTAAGAAGATATATGATATTGTTTAAATGAACCTACATGTTCGTTTGTTGACTAGAAGTGATGGACCTCTAGATTTAATGTTGTCTGTAGATCAAATCATATGATCATATCTATGGTTGTCTATTGATTATAGAATAATTGGAGGTCGTATCATGATTATCGAACAAGGAGAGAATGATAGGTTGTTAGGTTATATCAATAACCATAACTAGAGTAGGAAAATTATCTTTGCAGTTGTAATCGAATCATTTAACCATTTATACGAGCTTTGCCTTGGTTGAATATTTTGTTTTGACTCTTTCTTTTAGTTTTGCCTTCTTTTTATTAGTCAGATTTTTATTATATTTTTCTTTGCAACATAAAATCATATAAAAACTCCATCATCTTTATCGTTTTATTTCTTTTACAAGTAGTTGCATTAGTAATTTGTCTAGCTATTCTTTGTCGTGGTTTTGTTATGAAGCCAACACACTCTGATTATTTAAATAAATACTAATAATTTACTAATATAGTATGATTTACTTATTGTATATAGAATGCTGACTCTACTATGAAGCCAACTGTTGGCTTCATAACAAAACCGCTGTCTGTCGATACAACTCTAATAACAATTACTATAGTTGTTTGACCAACAAGTACTTTTTATTGTTGGTTTCGATCAATACCTTATTCTAAAATTGTCCACAATACCTTTCAATTCAGGTCAATTAGCCA